TCCTTCATTTTGGAGTTCTTGTACAATCTGTTATTTTCTTAGACAATACCAGCATGCCCATTCTGTGAGGTTGTTAAAGCCAAATGATCACAGCAAAGTGAATATACTTTTGGTTGCCGTCCTTGTTTTAATTGTTGACTTGCATTAACATTTACCAATTAGTGTCATTGCAGTCCAGGGGAAAGAGCACTTAATGACCACTACCCATTGGAGATTTTGTACCATGTAGCACCATCTACTTTTTTCAGATGAAAACACAGTCTCCTTTGAAGGATTTATCCTTCCTCCCCCCCGCCCCCCCAAGGTTCTCTTTAGGAGGGGCCTGAAAGCAAGGTTACAACACACACACTGTGAAGCTTCTGTTCGTAAACTGCTTCCTGGAACTGATACATCAGTTACACTGACTTTAGGAAGACGGGAGGTTTCCAAAGCACTGAAGGGCTTAGGAGGCCCTGTCTGACTTACTGTTACTACATTTGAAAATATCAGTCAATGAATAATGAAACATACAGACGAGGAGAACTTTTTTCCCTTGATTTTTTTGGTTTTTTCAGTTTTGGGTGCTCCTTTTGGCAGGATCAACATTTTCAGATAAATGCAATGCATGAATTGGAGCTATTCTGTGAGACTTCTTTATGAGTGGGATCATCTCAAGATGTACGCTCTGCCTCACTTCTTCCCAATTTAGTAAATGGAATAATGCTGAATTATTTACATCGTCAACTCAGAGAGGTTCAATTTGTTTGTGAAAGCAAAAATACTCTCACAAAATACTTTGTCCCTTCATGTTCTGTAGTACTCTAGAAAATTATTCATATAGATCCGAAGCACATTTATTCAGTGTTTACTTGCTAAATCTTGCATGAGAATATTAGAAGGAGATTAATAGAAACCCTGCTAGGAAATACTCACAATTGAGAGAAGTTATTGAGAATGTGCTAAAAAATTTATTCAGTATTTGCGGTTTCACAGCAGACTCCAAACTCTAGTCTCACAATTCAATGTCACAGACCAATTTAGAAGGGTGTGCTTATAGGAAGAAATTGGTAACTAATTTTCCAGTGGAATTTGATACATCCCTGTGCCCTACAGAACGTGCATTCTTGCAGCAGCATCAGCTGTACCTTTGGAAATGATGGTTTCTAAATCATCATCTGTTTTGACTTTATCAGAGATCTAGAAGTAGTGCTTGAAAGAGATGCTTGAATTTAGCTAACGATGCAGAAGACTTTTGTGCTAATTCTGCACTTGAATTTCAAGTCTGACTTGTAGAAGGCTAGGAATTTCATGGCTGGTTTGAGACTGATGTTTCATAAGTGTGGATAGTGAGATATACAGGGGAGAAGTGATCCTTTTATAGGAAGAATATGAGACTGGGACCATCACATGCAGTATTTAGCTCTGTGATGTACCATGGAAGTGTTGATGCACCAAATGAGGAAGAGACAGCAGCAATTTTAGGTGCCTTGTAAGGCAAAAACTGAAAACAAAATGTTTGAAAAATCTGTGTCCCTGTTCACAGTAATCGTTTCTATACAGATGGTGGTAGATTTTGAAAGAGATCAGTATCCTGGAGTGCAAGACCAGATTTTCACGTGGCTGTAAATTAGTGTTTTTAATAATGTTTGTGCTCAGTGCTGTACAGAATCCCCTTTTGACTGGAAATGGTCAAGAGGCTTGATAGTGAAGAGATACTCTACTTATTCCTCATTCTTTCTTGAAAATGTGTTTCATGTGAGTGACTTGCAATGAGGAGTGCAGAAGTGAACCACTGGAGAGAGCTGAGCAGTGAATGGAAGGGTTCCTTGCCAGGTGGGCTTTGGGGGTTTCATGCGTGAGGACAGTACGTGAGAGGCACGGAGAGGCCATGGCCAGAGCAGAGATCTCAGGTAGTGCAGAGCTCTCATCTTCTAAGATGAAGTGTTGCAGCTTGATGAACTGAAAAAGGAGGGATTTGGGGTGATGGCTATTGTGAGAAAACAGCAAGGTGAGAAATTCTAGCTGCTTTTTTGGAAATTAAGCAAGGTACCCAGGTTTTTAGCTGGTTCAGCTGGAGCTCAAGAGATAGTGAGTGGAGGGAAAGGCTAGTCAGGTGTAGCTGACTCCATCTTTAAGATGCAGAATATCCTGTCTTTAGCTGTTAACTATGTTCAGCAAAACTTGCCTTGATGAACTAACTCTCAGACACTGGTTTCTTGAATTTTATTTATCTGGGGGAGTGGGGAGAGGATGTGTGTGTCACTCATGCTTACTTTTTGCAATTGTAAAAGAAGTTTCAAATCTGAATCAGAGCTTAAGGAGTTCTCCTGCCTGGATGGTGTCTTGAAATGACGTGCTGATTATCTAACACCCAAACCCCCGGTTAAAGGTAAAGATTCCCAAACTGTAGGACATACGCCTCTAACGGTAAGCAGGCATCTTGCTTCAAAGTGACGTGCAAACGCCGCTGATAAATCTGAATATTGCCTGTTGTGTGTCGATTCCTGATGCAGTCAAGACATGAATGTGGGGATGGCCACACTGAGGCATAGCTCCCAGGGAGGGGGAAGAGATTCTTCCCAGTGATCTCTCTGCTCTTTGACAACAAGAATAGGTCACAAGTGCTTGTCCCACCTGGTACAGGAACTCCGCTTAATCTGCACCTTCCATACTGGTGCATCTGTAGAGCAAATGATCCCACACCAGCTCTTATTTTCAGATACATAATTTGGCTCATGATTTTGTTGCAGTGTGCATATCCTGCGTGTGTTGTCTCAGGAAGAGGATCTTCGCTGGCATAACAGAAAGTTTTAACATATTTATGGAAACAGTCTATAATTTGTCAATGGGGTGAATGGGGAAGAAGAGATTACTTTGTTTTTCTGGGTGCAAAAGGGTTGGATTTTTATTTTTAGCTTTTTCATGTCAGTATCATTATCGAGGTACAAGTACCTTGCACAACCTTGGGAAGGGAAGTTGAAAATTTCCCTAAATTTATGATATTTAGTGCTCCTAGTTTTGCCATCAGCTTGCATAGAGATGATTGTCTGTGAGTCGGGGTTTCAGAATAGCTGGGCTGAGAGTGTTCAAAAAACGGGTAGATGTGGCGCTTTGGGACATGGTTTAGTCTAGTTTAACCTTGATTGGTTTAGAGTGGACTTAGTAGTGTAGGTTAATGGTTGGACTGGATGATCTTAAAGGTCTTTTCCAACCTAAACGATTCTATGATTCTGTGAAAATGAAGGAGACTTTTACAGTTGAAGTTGGAAATTTGCTTTTTTTCCCTTCCATAGACTAGAAATGGAGAAAATTCTTTTCCCATATATGAACTTTGAAATACCCTCTATTGCCTAATCACTGAAGACTCTCTAATTCTTATCCTTGCTTGATTAAAGCTGCTCTGTTATTAACATAGGAGAAAAAAATACCATTAAGATTCTCAAGGTACTGAATAGAAGAAAATCTTTGGGGCTCCAGGAACAGCCCCTTAGTCATAGCTGCCTTTTACAACTCAGACATGATTAAATTAGCAGGAAAAGTACTTCCTTTCAACATATGATTTGCTGTCAAATTCTTTCTGGAGAGGATAAGCTTTCACATACAAATAATGTACCTGCGGTAAAATCTGAGGGTTGAATCTAAAATAATTACATACTATAAATAAAATTACTGTGCTGGAGCAGTGACATTCAGTACACATCCATCCAGAACCACTTCCTAAAGGAGATTACTAACAAGTTGCAAAGGTCATGAAAAACGAAAGGCATTTTTTTTGTGCTCTTGAATCCAGGTTTAATGTTTATACTGTCTAAAGAGGCTTGTGTTCAGCTAGTTATTGCTAGTTACTTTCTTTTTAGGTGGTGGTAGGTAGAGGGGATCGTTTGCTAGATGTCCAGATAACTTGACTACTGAGTGATCGTTCTGTGGAGGTGTTCCATCATGATCTTTTGTCATTTTTTCTTACATCAAATGGTTGCAAACATAAAACATCAGTGCAAAATCTCAGTATTGCTTTGTGAAGATTTAAGATCATAAATTCTGATGTTAAAGGAAAAAGAATATCTTGAAAAACTCCACTGTTGTGTATCAGAGGTGATGAGAATGCTGCGATTGTAGGTGTATTTTGAGTAGTTTTACAGATACACGTTTTACTCTGATTAACGCAGTCCTTTCTTTTCTGATCTCGGAAGGGAAAAACAATTGCCCTGTTGATGTGCTTCTCTTCGCTTTCTTAGAGTGACAGTGCTACCTAGTGCTCAGCTAGGGTAAAGGCAGCTATCTGCACTGACACTGCATTCAAAATCGATTAATGTATTTTTAGTTTCAGGGCTTATCAGTGGGAATGATGAGCATGCCCAGAACATGAGCGCTCCTCCAGGATCAGCAGGGCGGTTCTCCGTGAGACACAGCACACAAGGCATGCAGGGCTGGCGTGGTGACCTGTGTGGTCTTTCTACCTGTAAAAACATTTTCAGCCAAGGGTTTTTGTCAGCTTCACCGACTGTGGGAGAAGACGTGGGGAGTCCTGCTCCTTCTTTGGGGCTGGGGGAAGAGAAGAGTAGCTCCATAATGAGCCTGTCCAGTTCAGTCCTGCTGTAGATCATGTGAGCTAGAGACGCTCATTTCAATGATAAGAGAAAATCCTTTCTTCTCATCTCATCTTGCATATGATGACGGAAAGCTGAGCACTTTTAAAGGCAGATACTAGGAAGTCAAAGGTGTCAGAAAAGCAGGAAGGAGGGATAGAATGTGGAAGAGATCAGTTGCAACAGCTG